CTTCGGTACAGAATAATATTGCATCTACATTTCAATTATCGTTGGTCTTTTCAATTTTCCTACATCGATACAGTACCTAATTTTTTCTGATTTTGTGAATCAAGGCACGCTCATCCCGAATCCGTAGATAACTAGTGATGATGTATTAACGTACTATTTTACACATCCTAATTATTGCCGACCCTCGCTCATGATGTCTTTGTTCTTACCTGTGGAGGCTCTTGCGAAGAATATGCAGATGTACATTCTCATATTCGGTGAGCCACTCTCTCTGCTTATCGCATCAGATTGGCATTATTCATTCCCAAACAAGCTTTCTTTCCTGAAAGATTCACAACTTGTATAGAACGGAACCATTGTTTCTCCACTCGTATACCAATGTTTTGCTTATAGACTGATTTCATATAGGTGTATAACGAATAAAATGAGGTGATCCTTCAGACTGAATTCAAACTTCCAAAGCAAAAGTTGTTACCATTACGCAAGATGAAGTTTCATTTTAGATCTGCCATAACGGAAAGACGATAACTGTATATTCGTTTCGAGAATAATCATGTAATATTTATTAAAATAATTTGGTATTCGCTTCCATCCGCGTCGTTTTCCTTTAAGTATTGGGGAAATGTCCTAAAAACCTGTAAGTGGATGTCTTAAACAGAAGCGTGTCTTACTACATTTGGAAATGACATCCATTAAAGCAGTTGGATGCTAATTTTATCCCGTCGACTTCATTGTACCGAACAAAGTATTGCTATTACGTTACTCCGTATGTGTACATACGCCGTCAGCTTGGATGGGTTCGTAATTGATACTGATTGGATATTTCTTGCAGAGAGAAGGGCACCTGTGAGATACGTATCTCGAATGATTTGGTTTCAACCAGCACTGGAGGCTTGGTGAAGAGCCGGAGACGGTATTTGACCTTGGGGTGTCGGTCGTCGAGAAAGGAAGAAACGGCTTCCGAAAGGAGTTCCTCGTCGAAGGGAACGAGCTCGCCAAGTCGAAGCCCAGAGCCGACGCATGGGCAGGCGACACAGGACTGAAGGGTCTGAACTGAACCACCTTCTCACTTTTCTAGTATAATGCATTGCACCTAATTTTACTAACGGAAAATGTTCTGATATTCCCAGCCACCCCCAGCCGAACAGATTTTGGACGTTGTTTCAGAAGCGGTGGGCAAATTTTCTTTCATAAACTGCGTTTTATGAGATGCCTTTACCTTTCTCTCATTCTTCGTCTTCGTAAGATTTATCTGTGGCGATCCTTGAACTCACAATATTCGATTTCAAATTACTGCCCTTGGTTTTTTGTGTTTGAATGTTTAAAATCATTGTTTGTTTTTGAGACATCTTCCCCGCTGAGTATAATAATTTCATTTGAGTACACGTTGATTTCTCTTATCATTTGTTTTCTCGGAGAGTAGTTTGTTGCTTGCCTTCTTAATCATTGCCTTCTAAATCATGAGCTGAAATCTCGAACTCTTGGCCATCTTTGTATTGTACTTTGCAACACCTCTAAGTTAATATTTTTTTCTATACCACTTTTCGTTATTGTTCCCCGTATGAACATTACATGCAATGTCCTCAGAGAACATGTAACATGATTTCGTAATTAGTTCTGTAAATAAAAAAAACTAATTTTGGCGTTATAATAAACTTTCTGTTCTTGTCAGTGCTTTATTTTCTGAAGGCTCATTGAACGCTTTGATAATTCCAAAACACGAAGGATGGTGATCTCAGCAAGACAACAGCGCCAAACACCATTTGGGTTGTTCTGCGACGCACTGTATCAATCTAATGCACATGCTTCCGATCAGCAAACTCTTTCAAGTACAGGGCCCGTGTCTTCCCATATTGAGTTTGATAGATAATATAAATTTATAATATTTTTCTTTCCTCTGGCAAATTACCAAATAAAGTAAGTTTCTGCGCAAAAAGCACAATTTATTTTAAAAAAACGGTCAGTTCGGTAGCTTACAAAGTAAATATTTTCGCGGCTTCAGAACATTAGACAATCGTCAGGATTTTAATTCTAAATAATAAACCAAAGAAATAAACACCATCGTAATTTAAAATGTGTGTATGCTTTTACTGCCCCTTAATTTCATTCAACGTTCTGTAATTTGATCCTTTTCCACTACCCGCTTGTGATTGGTTCACCATTCTCTGGGGAGCGGTATCGCTCACTTGAGGATCCTATAGTATAGTAATTTGAACTCCACGATTCTGTCGAGGTGGTTTCCCCTTTATACAGAGTATATGGCTGTACGTGAATATGTGATAGCTATTAACAAAGTCTACGATACTTTGTGTACATCACACTCATTGCTTGTACATTTTGTCAGCTTTTTCTGTTTAATGAAATATTTACATTTCCTAGTTCATTTCCGTATGATAACGAATTAATAAATGAGATAACGTTTTGTCCACAGAAAGAGGAAGCAAAACCAAAACATATGTGACTGTTGCAAACTATGAATATTTCTGTCAGAAGTTTGTGGCATTGAATTAAGTCCCCTTGAAAAGAAAATATTATACGAAATGAGTTGTCACGCCACTACAGTACTGAAAAAAACTAGAACGTGATTTGTTTTCTTTGAGCGAACTCTGTATTAATATTTGAAAAGATTCCTATTGTTAAGATTATTTGTTAAACATTAGTTTATTAATAAAACTAAATAATTTGTATTATTTGTCTTCTAATTAAATCAATGAAACGGAGTTTCTATCAAATATTTGTTGACTGCCGACGTGAATAAATTTACCCATTATTTGCATTCGTGACGATAACTTATTATTTTGAATAATATTTTGTTGTTCTATTGACATGAACTAAAGGAAATGTTCATCCTACACTAGAGAATTAACTTACCGCACAAATCCCTATATATGGAGGAATGTGTTAAAAGACAAAACAAAAAGATCAATTTTTCAACCAGCTTTACCAATCTCTCTCCAGCTTTACCAAGCTCTCTGCGTTGGCACGCGTGTAATTTTTTTATTTTTTTTTTCAGTTTTTTCTTGCACATTTTCTAACTAGTTTCACTTTTAAGACAGATTATCTTTTTGTAATATTATTTTTAGAGCTTAGTTTTTCGGAATACTCGTTCAGATGTATAAATTGAGTTTTTCTCCAAATATTTTCTTTGCATCATGAAATTTGTGCATCAAAATTTATGGCTTTCTATTTCTACTGTGAAAATAAAAAAATAAAAAAAATTGTAATACAGTGCTATTTAACATAATTTTAATTTAACCGAAATCCCTAGTATGTAATGCTGAGAATCTTGTGCTTAAAGCGTTATACCTGTCGTGACTCCCGGCTACCAGGTTCTTCGCCCAATTTCTGTCGAAGACAAAAACCGCGGCTCGGCGAACCTGGTGCTGTCAACACCATCTAAACAAAAGCGCAGCGGCGCGAGAGACGAAATTTCTCCTGGGGCCTGCGAGGGTCGTTGGTTCACGCTTGCTTCCACTTTCTCCTGGGGCGGTTTAGCCTCCCACGCGCCCGCGTGCCTGCGCCACAGCTACCGCCACTTCAACGCCTGCGCCCGCCGCCACGGCTGCCAACATTCCGCCAACGCTGCCGCTACTACTGCCACAATCGCCGTCGCCATCGCCATCTCTACCGGTGACGTCATCATTACCACTATCTATACCACTTCCATTGCTACCACTGCATGACTGCACCATTGCATGACTGACGGGGAGGTTCCAGGGTTCGAAATCCCCGCGGTGGCAAGATTTTTTACACTAGCTTCATAGCTAGGTGGAATTCAGCCGTCGTCTGGAGTAGAATTGTAGCGGCCGACTGACCTAACCGGTATTTTTTTTTTCGATGGCGAATGCTGGTGCAGTACCCGCTAGGGCCACGGACCGCGCGCGATCTTTCCTCACTCTTCCTAGTCCTATCCTCTCTCCTTACACACTTACTCGCACTACACAATTACCACACATGCTGGGAGACTGGTCAGGAGCCTAGATCTTTTCCCGATTGGGGCGGTGGCCCGCTGGTGGGATATACCTGGTTGGGGAAATCGCGCTAGCCGATGGTAAGTCGGCGTCGAATCTCATCACCCAGCGGGGAAAGATCATAGCCATGTCCCAAGGAAAAAGTATGCACTACACTTACGGGACGAATAACCTTAGCCGTTGACGCGCCCGGACTCACCAATCAATCAAAACCACCTCCATCGTCACCTTCACCACCACCACCACCACCACCACCTCCATCGCCACCATTCCCACTGCCAGCCCTTACGGCATCAGTACCATTGCCGCCTCTTAGCTACCACCTCCCCGCCTGCTGCCATTACTCTAGCGTGTTCTACTACAATTGGCGTAGCTTGTGCTGCCCGGCTCTTGATGATGAAGAATGATGTTTTTTAAAAAAATAATATTCAATTATGAATACGTTTGAGATGAAAGATTACAAGTTCTTTGGGGTCAGAAAAATAAATTTAAGAAAAGTAATATTCAATTACGAATATGTGTGATGAAGAAGGTAATAAGCTCCTTTCATTACTCAGATTAAGAGGAAGTTTGAATCTCGGGCAAAGAGAATTAGGATTATCATAAGCTTGGTAAGAAAAGATAAGTAGAAAGTAAAGAAAAGATTAGAATTACATATTTTGATAAACTACTCAATAAAGAGCAAAGCGTATATGTAATAGAATTCTCAAAATAAATTATGAACTATCTAAAAAGACCTGTTCTTACAGAGGTTACCCAAGGGCCTCAAGTGACTAGTCCAGAAATATCCATTAAAGGTAGAAAATATTGAAGATTTAAAACAGCGACTAGTAGAAAATGAAGAAAGAAATGTGCGAGAATGGGCAGGTTGCAGATGAAATCCGCGCAGATCAGTCTGAAGTCACCTTGGAAAACCGGAGGATCTGGCGTCAGCGGAGGAAACTGCGGTGTAGGCGAGGGTGGCCGGCCACCTACGCCTGTCGAGCCTAGTGAATGGTGTAAATTCAGGCGAAACTTTGTGCAGCTTACAATTAGTATATGAAGGGGAGAGAGGAACCGGCCAATGACGTCGATAGCCAAATTTAGGAGCTATTTTTTTTAAAAAATATAGTTTCTTAGATTAAAATTTAGCAGATATGGTAAAAGCACCAATAGTGGCCATAATTCAAAATATTTTATTTGTTTAGTTTTCTCGAAATTGGAGGGCTATAGCACTAAATTCGTTATGTGAAATTCAATGGGCGATTTGCACCCGTGTTTCTGAATAGATCCCTTGTCTAAAAAGGCCAATGAATGTTTTCTACAAACTTATTGTCGAAAAACGTGCAGAACAAGGAGTCATTGCTTCTAGTGGTGAGGAATGAAGATAAAATATTTATTATCATGCATTTGAATGAAGAATAAGTTGTTAGTTTTGTAACTGACAGTGTTTTACTGATGGACAAGTTCCTACGCCTCTGCCGCTGTTATCCGAATTTAAGGCGAATGCCTAGTTAGTTCCATCAGTGATCTGAATGTTCTGAAAGGCCGGGTGATGATATTTTAATGCTTTTTGTCTAGAACCGACTAAAAAATTGTTTACAATTTTGAATCATTTTAAAATTTGTGTTACATTCAAGTGTATGTTTAACTTCAAGCCAAAAATGAAAGGATAACTATTCACATGCTGAATAGCAGCCGATTTCAGTTCAAATGGGCGGCGTCTTTTTAACTTTTAAAACGATTTGTACTGATATGACTAACTTTAGAACATTCGAAGAATATCTTGGCAGTATTCTTTGCTGATATAAAAGAATAAAATTTGATGCTTTAACAGACTTTCCGTCATTAATAAAAATAGAATGTAATTAAATCTTGTGTAGATGCAATGCAGAAGTGCAAAGAGCGACATTTTTGGACTAAAACGTCATACAATAGTTGTTTTCATCGCCTCGTAAATTTTACGAATACTGCTGTAACCTTTCGTTTGATCGCAGTTCTGCATTCCTTGTTCGTTCAACAAAACATGAAAATAAATCGCATAGTTTCATAAAACAAACTAGTGGTACTAAAACGGCACTACTTTCTAGCTCGTATTTTCTCACAAAATTACGCGATGACAAATTTTCGAAAAATTGTACATAACCTTATTTCAAAATCTATTTTTAAGGAACATATTTCTTTAAAGGAACAAATCTCTATCTTTAATAGTTGAGCTGTAGAAGACTCCGAAACATTCTGAACTTTTGCAATTTTCGAAAAATTTGTTTTCAGCGATGCGCCATTATCTTAAACGTCCTTCACACTATCCAACAAAAAAAGTAATCAAAAGCAATGGACTTTTTTGGAAAAGGTCCCAGGATATTCGCGTAAAGTACCTCCAAAAATTAAAATATGAGTTTCAAATCCAAGGAGTCGCGATATCAGCCCGATCAATTGAGGAATATCATTTTTGGAGATAATCGGCTTAACGGTTTAACGTCGGTCGGCTTAACGGTTAGTTTGATCTGGGCTGTCCGGGTGACGCCGCGTCGAAGGCTGTGTTGCCGACGTTTCACCCTGACAGCCCAAATCACCCACATGACTCTGACCGCGGAAGCCTACGACTTCATTTAACGGTTAGTTGTTCACAGACGGGTGGGCAGGCAGGCGGACAGACTTTTGTCATCATTCGATTTTTCGGCATCAAGGACCCACCAAACATGGATTCTGGCTGTATTAGAGGATATTTTTTCTAAATTTAGCAACTAGAATTTTAGTTACCATGGTCCTGTAACAAGAATTTTACTGCCGAAAATTCGCCGCTTTTCGCATAGCATTACATACGAGTAACTTTCTCTCTACTCCAAAGCGAGAAAGTAATAAACGTAGTTATCCAGCGATTGGGAACATGGTATTGTCAAGTTCGTGAATTAAAGCGGTTGTTCAGTATTGTTAAATGCTGTTATTTGACCTTTTCCTAATTCTTAATAATGTGTCGTAACACGGAAGGGAAAGCGGTAAAAATATCACTTCCTTGCATTGCGCTTAAAGTTAATTTTTTTGTGTTTATAATTATGTAAAATGTAAGCATACGGAACACGAAACGTCGTGAAGGAATATTTAAATGTTATAAAATTGCGATTTGAAATCAAAATTAACAATTCCTGTAATGTTTCGCAAGTAAAGATGACAAAGATTTTTCTCGTTGGAAACTTCCGTAGTACTTAAATCGGTTACAAGAGAGAAGTGCCCATTTTTTAACAATACGCTGGCAAGTGCGGAGACCACGAACAATGGAACCGGAAACAGAACAATAAGTATGCGTTATTCTCTCGCGCTCAACAAAGCAGCGTGGGCGGAGAGGAATCGGTGCCTCTGTCACGCCCTGGGAACCGTATGAGTTGTGTTACAGGAGACCGAATGGTCCAGAAGTGTTTGCATGAAACGACACTCGGAATCGATTACACAGTTGCAACGTTGCTGCAGTTCTGTTTTTGAGAATATTTACTTTCCTGCAGCTCATAGCAGCCAGGGAAAAATAAGTTACTGCGTACTTAACGTATTAGAATTGTATAATTTAATATGAATGTATTATGAACTCATGAAGTACATAAACGTAACTTCTAGATTACAGATCAAATTTTCCGAAATATTTTTTGTAGTAAACACTGAATTATGGTCTAGCCGATAATTAACGAGAATAGCATCTTCTACCATTTGCATATTTCATGTGGTTATGTATTATAAATCAATATTCAATATCCTTATTTCACCACATTTCCACTACGAATTCCTGATTCTATGCGGAAGAGTGCCATTTCAGAAAATAAAGTTTGCTTCTGCATTAGAGTGGAAAATTCTAAAAATACACTTATGTGTCAAAGTATTCTCAAGAAATTCTTGTCGTGTATTTTATTCAATGACCAATATAAAATCAATTTTGTACAAATTTTTGCCTGTAGTTTTTTTGTTGTTTTTTTTTTTTCAGATGAGACTAATAAATCAAATTGCCAAAATCCAGAGAAATTATGCAGAGAAAATAGTATTTGCAGATAAATATCACAAAATATCATGTGTTTGTTTTGTGTTTATTACTTTTCCGATAATATTTATTTATCTTTTATAGGTCTTGTTTGTGAGCCATTAATGTTTCGGAAAATAGAAAGTAAAGTAGGATCTTTTCCTTGTGTGACATTTCACCCTTGGTTGCACAAGAGAAACCTAATGCCAATTAATGTGTCAGTTCTTCGTATGCACACGAGAATGGTGTGTAGGGATATGTTTGCTTCATTAATATTACAAACTATGTTCGCTGCGTAAAGGGTGTTCTGTACGAAATACACATAAATGAGATTTTGACATATATTAATTATTGTGGGAAATTATTTCCTGTAATATGTGTGTAAAATGTGATAAGTCATTATTTAAAGGTTTTTGTTTTTTGTTTTTTCATTTAATATTGCAAATGTCAATATATTCTGAACTTATAATTCTCAAATTTAAAAACGATACCTCATTGGTTTTGGTGAGTACGTAAATACATAACATATTGACATTTTGATGAGATAGAGTTGAAAAGAAAGATTTAAAAATAGTAAATTTTTCAAACCAGTTTTTCTCTAAACTATTATTTTGTACATGGCATCCTTTACGTAGTAAAAACACAAGTAACTGGTTTCTTGGATGAAATTATAATAAATTATCATGTTAAGTAGTATAAAAACTGAATACTGGATTTGACTTCTTTGTGGCAGATACTGCAATAACTCCATTGTAATTTGAAATTAAAACAGTTCTATTAGGGTGGTAATTTTTGGATGTGGAAATTTCTTAATTATCAGTGATTTTTTTTTTTTTTAACCGAGATAATGAAAATGAAAATTAATATTAAAATACATAGATTGCCATATTACGTAACAATTGTCATTTTTCATAACATCCACTCAACTGTTTAGATTTTATTTAAGTTTGAACTTTAAAATTAATTTTTGTTTGTAAATCATATACAGAAGGTAATTGTGTTCATGTTGATTTCTAATTGACTGTTTTGCTTTTTCTTCGCAGGTACGTTGCCTTGGGAGCCTTTACCTATTCAATTCTGTGTGACTGGACGTGCGAACAGCAGTAGTAAGTTGCATGTTTACTATGGGTTCATGCCTTTGTTTTAAGGTTTTGCCAAAGGGTGGCAACGGAAATAATTGCAAACACCGCAGTTGATCTTAAATAGACTTTGTGTTATAACTCCAACAGCAAAGTGTTTTCTATCCGTAGCTCAGTGTTTGATGGATCGATTCAAACCGGCGAGGAAAACTGTTTCTGTGCGGGTGGAAAGAAACCAAGATCACAATGAAACACATTCACTTTCCTTCGCATGTAGGCAAGGTCGCGCCGTAACCTGATGTGCAAATGTAGTAAGAATTTCTACCCTTGTGGGTCCGCAAGGTCATGCGTGTGGCCGTGCCGCCGGCAATGCACGCGGAGTGGTGGCAACACGTGGGCGGCGCCAACGGCGCTGGACTTCCGGCGCCGCACCGCGCCTGCGCTGCCTCTTCCGGTCCAGCGATTTCTCCCGGCCCCGACGACGGCAGGCTACACACGTGCCGCACTACACCAACGCCAGCCGACACTGACTCTCCGCCTGCTGCCGAAACCACCACCACCACGCACCGCCATCGCCACCGCACCGCCACCACCACAACCGACCGAGGTGGCTCAGGGCATCATGGAATGTCGCTACAATGCATCTCGTTTGGGAGGTCCTATGTTTCGAGTCGCGACGTGTGGCAGGATTTTCGACAATACCTATACAGCTAGGTCGAATTTAGCGCTGTCTGGAGAAGAATTCTAGTGGCCGGCTGCTCTGGATCGATAGTTTTTCGTGTTTTATACGATCAACACCAGGCGAATATGGAGCTGATCAATAACAAAAGCTCGATCTTTCCTTCCTCTTCATTGTCCTAACGTTACCCCTTATACCCACACTTACATGCACTACACCACACATGTTGGAAGACGAGTAGGGCGCTTGGGAGCTCACTGGATGGAGAATACCACGGAAGCTGCTGTGTAGGTCGGCGCCGTATCTCATCTCCCGGTTGGGGAAGAATACCGCCTCTTCCCGGGATAAAAAAGCTTGTACAACACTAACGAGTCGAATTTCCGAATCAGTTGATAGTCCTGAAATACTTCAAAATAATCAATCGTCCACCAACTCCATCATCACCATTTCCGCCGCCATTATCATCAACACACACACACACACACATACACGCCGCCACCACCTCTCATCCCTCCACCACCACCAACACAAACACACTCACGCCACCACCTCTCACCCCTCCACCATCACCACCACAACCCCTCCCCACCGTCACCGCTACCACCGCCGCCCGATTGCCATCTCCCTGCAAGTTGCGTGGCGTGGCGTGGTGCTGATGAAACGGCTTCTTCCCAGCCGCGTGGCCCTTGCGCAAGCGGCGGCGGCGGCGGCGCTTGCGCTGGAGGTCTGCACGGCGCCCTGGGGCCGGCTGGTGAGGTTTCGGAAGCTGTCGCGTGTGAGAGAGGAAGGGGGGAGGGCGTCACAGGGACTGGATCGTGTGCTTGTGCTTCCTCGTCCAGTCGTGGGAGTCTGCTGATTCGGGTCAGGACTCTCAAGTGGGACCGGAAGGTTTGCATTGAGTGGCAGTGTCACTGGCCGTGTGGGATCTCTTTGTCGCGATGCTGTGGGATTACGGAATGGTGATGCGTTTTATGTGTGGATTGTCTGCAGCTGTAGTGTTGTGACCCTCGGTTGCCTGTGGCACTAGTTCTACCTTAACTACGAGTATTTTATCTAGCTTTATTGCAAAGCATCCTATATTAATTATTTACTAATTTTTGTTAAAAGTGTAACCTTTTAGGAGAAATTTTGTTGACTTCAAATGTCCGGTGTCGAAATGCCGTGACAGTGGTATATGCAGAAAAAAATTTCTCTATTTTAATTAATGTATTTATTGATTTTTTTAAAATTCAGTAATGATAAGGAGTGCATCGAGTTCATGTGGTCCTAGACCGTTATTTTTCTGCGTGTGACTGTTCTTCCAGTGCGTACTCGTGTTGACTACCGCAAAGAGAAAGTGTTTCTATTTCCTGGTTACTCGGCCTTGATGACACACTGAAGAGTGCCGAACCTGTCTTTAGTGACATAATACGATCCGATTCGTGTTCGTCAACCTTCCGAAACCGTTCATGTTTTCCCGAGTGTGTTGAAGCATGGCCTCGATAGTTTCGAAAACATTCATTTCCGTGTGGCCACCGTCATCAGTTCTCAGCCCCGCTCCATCGACGAAAGGACTGCGGCTTCCCATTTAAAGTGCCATTGGAGCTTCAAGTGTGTAATGAGCTTCAAGTGAAAGTGTGGTGTAATCTACGAGGAATTGCCAGTTGGAAACCGTAGAAACGGCGATCAAATCGACTGTTCATGGAAGCGCCGAGTCGAAATCTGCACGCCCTTAATGCTGATTCATCTCGTAACCATACTCCTGGCGCGGTAGGTAACAAAAGTACAATAGGACAAATATATAGTAATATTTATTTCCTCAACAACAATTTATTAATATATTTATTGTTGCTATAAACAAATCAAGGAATGACAATTATTCCACACCTATGGATTCCAATTTGGAATCTACTGCCTGCCGATCAATCTCATTCCTAGAACGGCCAGAATTTTATTCTCTTTGCAATTCGCGTTTATTTTAAACCGTGATAAACTAGTGAAAGCTTTCGCAGTTTCATGGACGTAACCTACACATTGTGTTTACAATCTTTCTTATTATAATTCGCAATGTTCATTCATATAAATTTTTAAAGCAGCGACACTCAGAATGAAAGATGAAATGTTGAAAGTAGAAAATTCGACATATCTATTATTATTGCCAGTTAAAAACCAAGGAAATATTATAAGCAAACATAAACATTTATGGAAGGGAGGGTGATTAATAGGGCAAATTATTTTGGCGAGAACGTTTTCTTAGCTATTTTACAAACTTTTTCATCAGCATAAACCCTGTAGTTTACAAAGGAAATACTAGGTGTTAATAAGGGCATTGTGCGTACACAATGAAAGAATGTGCTTGCTCTAAATTTCAAAAATCATTAATAAAACTTATCTTGGATATTGCTAGATCATAATCAAAGTGCAGTGTTCTACTCGCGCATAAGTGCTATTATTCACTCGTAAAAATTACGACACTCGTTCCTACGTCGCTCTTTTCGTAAACAACTACTCGTGAATAATTGCAATCATTATACTCTCATTGAAGAATATACTATTCTGAGTGCAATGGAAATATGCGAAAATGTTAGTTCTTTCTTCTTTGTTTCATCCTTGGTCTTTTTGTCATTATTAATAACTGATAATTGTTAACTATATTGTCATCCCTTGACACATCTGTTACGGACTATTAATGATATTGGTTCTTGGCCATTATTGGCCGATATTAGTTATTGGCCAGATCATGTAATCCAATTTGGGTGAGTCACTTTTTTTGAAAACTTTTGCGTTTCAAGTCATAATCACATGAAATATTCATTAATTACGCTTAGTTTGAATGCACATCTACAATACCTCAGCGTATATAACAATGACCCGAAAAATGCGAATTTGCTGTTCTAACCGTGAATTTATAACATTTTATATAAAAAGTTTTCCATCGACTGTTTGTATGTGCCAGCGGAAAATTCAAACAAATTTATTTAAAAACTTACTTTTCAAATAGTTATTGTCTCAGCGTCTTTCACTGTGGTCAATTGTTTAAGCAATATCACCAACGATCGTCTCGGAGATTGTTCTCTTAGTTGCTTGTGTACCTTCTATTAAAATGTAATTTTTAACATCATTGTAATGCCAATAAACATCGCTACTATACATCTGATATGCTGCAGAGTTGTGTGTGTGTTTGTGTGAATAATATCAAATTTAAGTAATTTCCATAATTTTCATTAACACAAAAATCGCTATAGACATCAGCCTCAACACATCACCGCTAGTTATTTGTAGTTGTTCTGCCTTTTCCCCCTCAACTTACTGGTGACGTAATGCATCGGAGGAAATCAGACCCGTTTGCTGCTGAGCAAAACCCTACACTTTCGGAATCTCGAATTTCTTTTCAGCTACAGCCTAGCATATCTGCACGTTTCCTCGTGAGAGCGCGGGACGAGGTGTCGGCTGGTCATCGTGGCTGAGTCAGGCAATTCGTATTAACGGCAGGCGCGGGCGTCACGGCGGCGGCGGCGGCGGCGGCGGCGGGCCAGGGCTGCTGAAGGTCGCTGCAGTCGCGCCCGCGCCTTTCTCCGCCGCCGCCCTCGTGGCGACTCGCAGACGCCTTCGACGCCCAGACGTTGCTAGAGGTGGCTGGAGCGCTTGGATACAGCCAAAGTCCACGGAACGGAACAACCGCAGCTGATCCGTGGGCGGCTGCACGGCCCCCTTCAAAGCCACACTTCTTTTGTTTTATTTATTATTGAGTACGTTTCGGTTGGAGCTTTTGGCTCGTTCGGATTACTAACATTTATAATTGTGGTAGTCGATCTCTCCACATTTTGCAAGAACATACTTTATTTCTTCCACTAACATCAGGTCGATTTATGCGGTATGGTTTTTTTATGGCTGCAGCATCCAAAGGCTCACTCAGGATTTTTTTGTGAGCGTGTGTGGGGGGGGGCAGGTATCCTATCCAGCCTACTTGGTGGTTTCTTATAAAAATGTTTTCATTTATACTGAATGGAAAATTATTTTCCTTTCGTCACATACAATTCATATTTATACAGTAAAAATTGATATATTGAATTAACTTCGTTAGTATAGAAAATTAGTAAAAATTAAGTTTCTTAATATGTATCATATGTGTTTGCGAGAGAAATCTGAAGCACTATGAGACCCCCCTTGAATTTGCCACCAGCAGTATCAATTATTATTTTGATGTACAATTTAGAAGAAGTTTTCATGCACAGTATTTGGGTGAAGAAACACTCGTTTGCAGCATTGATACGTAGTTCACACGGTCGGAACTCGCATAAGTTAAAGTTAGTATTGAGAGGCAGTTTTGAATCTATAGTAGATGATAAATTTACGCTCTTGTTAAATGTTTAAACCATGTAAAAACCATGAGCTGCTTTAATTGGAGGA